TGTCGGTTGGAGCTATTTTGATGGTGTTCACATGTTATTTACATCACACACCCTCCTGTCATGTACTGTTCCCAGCTTGTCTCCTATGTGTCTTCATCCTGTTGTGTGTGCGTGTGTGTGTGTGTGTCTGTGTGCTCCCTGATGTCCCATCATCCTAAATAATCATCCTACAGTCATGCGTGAGATGCGATTTCCTTTAAACAATGGCAGGCCAGTTCGCTTTGCTGACCCCCTGAACCTCTCAGGCTGCAGAACAAACACTAGCATGTGCACACGACCAGACAGAGAAACACACCCTTTTAGCCCGCCTTAGTAGTACTGCACACATATTTAAATGTACACGCATCTGCAGACTCATGATGGTACATTCTCTTTATGTTGCTGCTTATTTGTCTGCCTTCCAGAGCAGACTTTAATAACTGAGGCTAACCGCTTGTCAGTGATGCCGTTCTGCCCCGAACTTAACTATTGGACTGTAGGCAAGACACAACTTAATACTGATCATTTCCCTGTCAGGGGAACAAAAAAAAAGACAGGCTGCTTCATACAGTGAAAGCCCCAAGCCTGTCTTTAGTGGAAATGATTGTAATTATATTTAAATGAGGGAGAGCTTGGTTGACCTGCTTTGAATTCCAGTGATCATTTAGCTGTCTCCTTAGCCAATCGGGGGCCATCACTGTTGCAGTCTGCCTCTACATGTTTTCTCATGGGAGTCATATTGGTTTTTGATTGATTTATTTTTGTTCACATTATGAGTTGTAGACTTACTGGAGTTCTCAAACACGCATCTTCCTTACTTTAACGCTATGTTCTCTTGTCTTTTCCATTTTGAGGAGGGTCAACTAAGGGAAACTGACATCTGTGTCATGTCCTATTTATAATAGCATCGCTTGTTATCAAATTAACTTGTTAATTTTAAAGTTAATTTTATAGTAAATGCACTCTAATGAAACAACAGTTTTGTCTGCAAATGAGTTTACCTGTCATGATCTGTGTTTCTGTTTGTTTATTTTAAGGTTTTTCTGTGTTCAGTTTCTGTCCTGAGTCTCTGTTTCTGCGTTTTCCCTGTTGATTGCTTCCCAGGTGTGTCTCATTCCTTGATTACCCTCCCTGTGTATTTAAGCCCATCTGTTGTCTCTGTCCTTTGTCAGATCCTAGTCAGTTGTCATCTTAGTCAGTAGTTCTCAGTTGAACTGGAAAGTCCTGAGGCTACCTTGCTCTGTCTTTTGTCAGTTGCTACCGGTATTTAGCTGTGTGCTATTGTCTATGCCGTGCTGCCTGATCCAGACTGTTTTGAGCTACATTCATCATTAAATTAATCTTCTTCATCACAACCTGGGTCGTCAGCGTTTGTTCTCACCACCACTTACCACAACTCATGACATTACCATTTTTTCAATAAATTTTTAATATTTTTATTTATTTTTATTTATTTTTTACACAATGTTGGTAAATAATGGAATATTTGTGAATTATACTCAGATAAAATGAAACTATAAGTAATATAAACTGCAAAAATTCAAAGGTTATTTTATGGGAACTGTTAGACTGTTTTGTAACAATTTTCTAAAATGTAAATTCTTGATGTGTATTTCTTTAAATCTTTCAATAAATTTCAATATGCTACTGTATCTTCAGATAAATGACTGCTTTGACTTTGAATATATATATATATATATATATATATATATATATATATATATATATATATATATTTTTTTTTAAAGTAAAAATAAGACAAGAATGAAATAAAGGAGAAGGATATGAAAAAGTGCCAAAGCATATGTGGAAGGAACTGAAGCAGGCACTACTTTATCTTTTGTGTTTTGTTACTCCAAATAGTTACATTTAAGTCTTGATCTGAAAGATTATTTGTCTTCGTTTGCTGTCTAAAGAAAAAAAAAGAGAGAGGAAACTAAAACATTTATATTCGATGTAGATTTGCAGACTGGCAGAAGTAATTTTCAAGGAAGAAGGGATTTAAATCCTGGGTTATTACTGTTAAAATGCAAAAGGTGAGAAAAGGACAGCTTCCATTTTAAGGTAATGATCCTTAGCTCACATCATTAACCATAGTCAACGTTGTATAGGGAAGACATTATAAATGCTGGGTATGGATGGTTAAAACAGCCTTTAACATCACTAGTGAGGGGACTGAATGAAAGCAGGACAAGAAATCAAAGGAATTTCACAGCAGTAGGAAGCTTCTGTATGGGGAATGACTCACATCCTCCAAATAAGGGCTGAGAGTTTCTGTCATTACTTAGGAAAACATTTTTTCAAATGAGGATACTTGCAAATGATGTTTTATAACATCATGACTTCTTACTTTTTTCCATTTTTGTTACTTAAAGAAAAGTGATAAATAAAAAAGACTTCAAAATCTGGTCGTGATGCATCTTCTTATGTTGCCATCTTCGTTGTGAGATTTTTTTTTACCAAACCTCTACAATCTTCTTTAGTTTATTGGTAATATAGATGCATCAACTCTTTATACAACCATTTAATTGTTCCCTCAAAATTACTTTAAGCTGACTTTCAGTTATCCTATTTAGTCAGGGTTAATTGATAACAAGCTGAATGGAAAACGGAGGGAAAAAAAGATATAATACAAACCAACATAGTACACTGTAATACAAAAAGTGGTATTTATTTGCAAAGGTTTTCAATTAAGTTAACCCTTTAAGTGTCATGATGACACTGGTGTCCACGTTGAGCCATGAACTCAAGCATCTTGGGGGTGACAGTTCAGGGATTTTAAGACTGTCAGAGAATGAATAGATGGATGAAATTAAACTTGCAGCACTGATAATGCTTTTCTTATGACTCAGCTCCAACCAGAAAGAAGTGGATTCCATTATATCTGATAGACGGAATCAGATATAATGGAAACCCAGTATTTGTAGGGGTTAGGGATCGCCTGTGAATAGCTAAAATCTGCATATATTTAAGTCACCCCTCTAAAAATGTTTACTCGTGCCTATTTTAATAGGTCACACACCAAATATATCATTAAATACACAGTGAACCCCATTTTAGAACTTCCATAGAAACTAATATATACAGTATTCCGTATTTCTGCTCTTGGGAGGGGTACACTACAGCCAATCAGTGTCAAGGAAAATAAATGGCTCTCCTGTATTGGCTGCTTTGCAAATGCCAACCAATTGCATGTAAAGTAGCTTCCCAGTTGAATTATCTTTTGAATTTTTCAAATATGCTCTGCAAAGAAATCAGCGAATAGATTAATTTTACAAAAATCATTTGGGGTTATGCTTTGCAAAAAAAAAAAAAAATCCACAAATAGGTGTCTCCATGAATACTGAACTGCAAATCGGCAGGGGTTCACTGTAAATAGAAAGTAAATGTAATTAGGAAATGTCCTATGTTTCAAGATAAATCTTGAAAATCTGAATAAATAATACAATAAGAGCTCTTAAAATGCACATAAGCAAATATCATTCATTCACATTTATTTATGATAGAAAAACAGCCATTGGGTAGTTCTGCTGCATTTACAGAAATGCTAAAGCGTGTTGTCAAATAAATTAATACATTTAAATTTAAAATTTATATCATTGTTCATAACAGGTAATGGCAGTGTGTTTCCTTCTGTTATGAAACAGTAAGTATATTGTTTCAGGGAGCATGATTAATTCATTTCCACTTGGCACATTTATCACAGGTGATTTTGACTTGGAATTTAAAGTACACTGTGATTTCCATTTATAGTAACAGGTATCCTTTTAAGGGATGGAAATAAACCTCTAATGTGGGCACTTTGGCTTTTAAATAAATTAGATTATAGTTGCACAGTCACCAATTACTTGAAGGACATAAAATGTATTTGCTGTTGTATGTGAATGCATTGTGCTGACAAAAAAAAAAAAAGCTGAGAAAGCATTCAACTAATTGTGAAAGCAAGAAAATAATGAAGTGTTAAATAATAAGATTTTTTTCAGACACTCAACATTTATTGATTTACACATAATGGCTTTAGGCAAAATGCCTAAATATGTGTGAAGAGTTGAATTTTTCCAGTTCAAATATGTTCTCCATCCAATCAGATTCAGGTTGGGCTATTTTGAAGGGAATAATTCACAAAATACACATCCATGCCACACTTTTCAGATTTTTACCTAAACTCTCAAATCTGTGTGAGCTTTGGTTATTTTGCAATACAAATAATTGGCAAATTATTTGTATTGCAAAATACAAATATTTTGCAATACAAAATATTGCAAAATATTTTGTATTGCAAATAATACAAAATATTATTTTGTATTATTACAATATAATAATAATATTATTATTATTAGCTTTATTAGATGCATAAAGCTAATAAATTCTAGTGGAAATTTTAGCAATAAATATGTTACATTGTTCAAACTTTTATTTGTAAGAAAAAATACTAATTTTTCCCCTTATTTTCAGTGAAGCACGACATTTTATGATTGATCAATTTAAAACCCATTAATATTACATTTTGTAGCTGTAACATGTTGAAAACTTGAAAAAGTTAATTTGCTGGGCTCTGTTCTTACTTAAGGTTTTATTTAATGGTTATCATGGCAGTCTCCAGTAAGAGCAGACGGTTGTGACAGACTGAAATGATCCCAGGAGAGGAAAAGCTAACTGCCAGACCATCAGTCAGTCAAAAGTCTAACAGCGCTGCGGACAGAGGCTTCTTCAGCTCTAGACACACGCTCTTAAAGCCTGTCTGGGGAAATTATGGATCAGACTGGAGTGTCAAATGGCTGTTGCTTCAGAAGTATGTGACCTCTCTGGCAGCAGTTAATGAGGTAGTCAGTGAGCTAAAAGAAGCAATATGCAGGAACTACAGAGAAGGCGCATCAAACAGACTCCTCTGTATGTCACAGTTTTCAAAGTGTCTGGCCAAGTTGTGGAAGAGTTGAAGGCATAATATATTTTTGGGACAACTCTTCAATGGAAAAATATTGGCAAAGTTAACCAGGGTTCAAATTGTGTGTGTCATACAGAATTGCAAGGAGGCGAGGATGCACAAACGTCGTATTGGAATGTGTCCCACAGGCTTGCGTCGCTTTGCCTGTCTAGATTGACTGATTTCTGCTGCTTTTGCACACCCTGCCAAAGATGTGGGCTGCCCTTCGGTTTCGTCTTGTACCTGCTATCAAGCTGTACCTGCTTGGGTTTAAGGTCCTGCTGGAGCAGCTACTAAACAAACGTTTAAAACTTCCAGGTTAGTTCATTTCGATTTCAGTTGTTAGACCAAATGTTAGACAAGTTGTTGGCTATTCGGCGTTGTTTCGACTCCTAGCAGTAACGTAGAGTCCTCTTAGTTTACGGGAGGATGCACGTACATACAGCAGCTGAGCCGTTAACTTTATTTCGTCACGGAAATGACCGTGTTGTGCTAAAGTAGCCATGCTAGCTAGGTTATACAAAAGGCTGAAAACACTGCTTTAAAATGTTTTCTTGGGTTGATTATGTTGCCGAATTTTCCGGGATGACCTACTAATTACACTAATTATAAAAATTTGCGATTCGAAGCGTTTTTGTTTGTTCCAGGGGGATTTGCGATTAAATAGTGAATTTTTAAAATGCAGTTTGGTTTAGATCCATTTAAATCCTCTATAAACTCATGTCCATCAAAGAAAGCGCTTGGCCACAATTACCTTTGGTCAATTTAATTTGCTCTTATTTAATGTGCGAAAGCAGCACGTCATGTGATTATTCTATGGAAAAAAGTATCATGATATACTCTATTATTCCTATTACAATATAATGCCAGACGTCCACGATATTAGGACAATCTGCATCCAAGCTCTCCTCTCTGATTGCGATATTTTACACACCGATATTGCAAAGAGAATTTTGCCTGCTCTGGATACCAAGCTACATTTTTACAGATTGGCACTGATTAACTGATCTGGAGTTCATGGAGTTGGATCGAAAATTATTCTATGTCTTGATATAATGTTTATTGTGAGTTGACAATGCATCAATAAAATAAATTAAATTAATGTTTTAAATGCTAGAATATATATAGACCACAATTTAGTTATTTTATACTTGAAGTCTAAATGGGTTTTTGTGGACTGTCAACAGCATAGGTTAGTTATATGGAATTCTTACATGAAATTATATTCTCTGATATATGTGTCCTCTTCTGACTCTGCCAGTGATGCCCAGACAAGATGGCAAGGTTGCCATAGTGACAGGAGGAAGCAGGGGAATCGGCTATGAGGTGGTCCGGCATTTGGCCAGACTTGGAGCACATGTTATCATAGGTACAGTATCAAGCACCACATCACTCAGATGAAGATGCAAACACATATATACAAAGGTATATCCCCAGAGTATAGGTTAATTTATTTGGTTGTATAGGAGTTAACAGTTTAAATAGATTTTTATTATGTTTATAATAAGAGTTTTTTTTAAAGAATAGAGTTATAGTATCTAAAAAAGATACTACAGAAAATGAAAAATCTTGAAATATAACTATTTTTCTATTGCTCTACTAGTATTTCCATTGTCATATTGCTATATTATTTTTTTTCTTTAGACACATGACCCCCAACAGACCACTTAAACTTACCACATAAAGCACTGTTACATTGACATGTGGCAGGAAGAAGCTGGAACCGAATCTTCAATCTTGTGATTGAATGACGACTGCTCAACTCACTGAACCACACAAATAAAATCAAACAAATATCACACATACTATTAAAACTAGAAACCTCAAACAAGCCACAGGTGAATCACTGGACTCCTATGGCTTCATGAGCGTCTACATGAAAGTGAAAATCGAAGGTGATTTTCACTCATCTGCCACCTGCTGGCTCGTCTTTTGGTTACTTTAGTAGTTCCTATCTGTCCTCAGGTGTCTCCCCAACCTGAGCCAGTTCAACTTATGACTCACAGCAAGATTGCTCCTAAAAGGGGAATCAGGAGCCACTCTCAAAAGCTGTACTGCACACAAGGAAAATATGAGCGTCTGAGAGAAATAGTTTTCTATTCAGTTTGGTGTATTGTGTGATCTCTCATTCTGCATTACCTAGTTTAGGTGTCATTAGGTGCAATTTGTGTCTAAATTTAAATTAGCAATGTGGTGCAAAGTGGTTAAACTGGCCTCTTAACAGGCCCACATATGGACGCAATCAAAATTTGTATTTGTAGTTCAACATTTTTAGTGGCCAAAAAAAAAAAACTCCCACAAAGAAATACTGATTGCAGTTAAGATGCAAATCTTTATTTTTGTGCCATAGGTAAAAACAGTGAATTTAGTTTGGATTCCTAAAACAAATAATAAATAATGAGGCTTACTGCAGAGGTTTGTAGCATTGTTGCTGTTTTGCAAACATTTCTTAGTCACAGATCACTGTAACAAGATCAGCAGCATTCACTATTATGCTTCGACTATACAGCAGAAAGCCAGAGTGTTTGCTAGAATTATAGTTGTACTATAATGAGATTTGCCACGTAGAAGAGTGTGCTATGGATGAATAAATAAATCACACAAGAACTCAGTCAAGTGTCTATTCCGGCTTCAGACAATCCCTTGTGATTTTTAGACTAATCCCACATCTGATAACGGCGCACATATCTTCATTGCAAATCCACCAACTGAATTCATGAAGTGTGAATATTTATGGTAAAGTGGATCCCGCTCTGATAATGGAGTGGATGCATATTTCAGGTAGAGTGTTAGCATAGTGCTTGTGTGAGGAGGAGGTGAGTTTGTTTTGAGCCTCTGCTCCGTCATGATGGAGCAGAGTTATTTTATTTTAGCTGAGTGCCTCGCTAAAATAAAATAACTCCTTGAACTTTGCCACATTTTGTCATGTTACACCCACACAACACTTGATCATATTTGTACTCTTTAACTTGGGGGATAAGATAAAATATTGACTTATTTTGATGAATGAATTGGTGTGGGATTTCAAAACGATACTGTTTAGTCCAGAAACAATACACAGTTTACTTAATTAATTCACCTTTTGAAAAAAAATGAAGTTAGTAAATGATTTGTTTGCTCCTTACTTATTTTTTGTTGACAAACATTTTAAAAGTCTGGTAGTGTTTTCCTTAAATCCCTGTGTATTAATAGAAAAATAAGTAAAAATGAATTTAGATTAACATAATTTTTAATCCCCTATTTTGAATTCCATCCATTCTGGAAAATACCCAAATTTCTTAGTGTAAATATATGCATTCATCCCACTGGCAATTTTGTTTTAATATTCAAAAGACCAATGACCCTGCAGATGATAACTGAAATGAAAATAGTGTGGTGATTTCAAACAGAAAAAAAATAAAACAAACAAGAGTGACTGCAGTTATTTTTCATGGTTAAGGAACTCAGTTTATAAAAGATGTCCTGCATTCCTATCAGGCAAAAATAATCCCTATAAACATGTTCCTTTCTTTTCCTGTCCCTGATAAATTCTCCTTATCTTGCAATGCCTCTCGCAGGTATTTGATACACAAATGTAAGACTCACATCTTTTTTGATGGATAATAATGTCACTGCGAGCAGATTCCACTTGTCAGAACTTCATAAATCCGTCTGCACAATTTGTTTTAAAACTCCCCTTTGTAAATGTTTCTGTCTGAAATGGGGCAGCTCTGTCAATATTGCAAATATATCATCAACAGCAAAAGGAGCAGAGATCATAGCTCTCATTTATTAACATTTCATTGCAGCTAAATAATAAAACCTGACAGTTATTGTATTCTGACAACTAGGTAAAGAATATGCTGAGCACTTACCATAAATCCATCTCAGATATTTTTGGCACTTTTTTCTTAACTCTAATGGCAACAAGGTGAGATGCATTAGTTGTGTTTACAAAAATGATCTTTCTAATGACCTGTTTTTTTCTGCCATGGCAGAGCTTATCTATAGTGCATTCCAATAAACTTCATACCCTTTAAACATTTACACATTTTGTCACAGAACAGCTATACACTTCAAAATACTCTACAGGGATTTTATATGACGGGACACATCAAGATATAATGTAATTTTTGTAATGTAATTTTGTAATGTAAAATATTTTAAATAAACATTTAATTGTTGAGTACTACTGGAAAGTGAACTTCCCTTCAGTCTTAAAACTTTTTTGCAAGTTCTAATTTATATGATTTCCTTGTATTTTTTATCATCGTTGTTTTTTGGTAACTCGTGAAGGACAGCATTCCGGTGGCAGGATGCTGCCACTACCATTCTACACCATTGTAACGTTGTGTTCAGGGAGCTGAGTGTTAACATTCATCCACAAAACAATGTGAATGTGCTTCAAAGATGTTCTGTTTTGGTCTCTGTGTCGACTGATTTGTTTGTTATGCAACTTCTGAACAAAAATGGTTGCGCAGAAGTTTATCGAGCAGCTTTGTCTGGAATCGGCTCAGTAGATTTTCTGTAGTGTAACATCTGTTTATTAATGTGCCTTTTAAGTGATTGTCAAAAGGAATAAAAATAAAGGACTGAAAGACTCCGACCTTCTGCTGCCTGCTACCTGTGTGTTTGTGTGACCCTTGTGCCATTTCATGCAGAGAAGCTGCATGCGTGAGCCTTGACTGAACCACAGTGCATCGGGGCAAATAATGCTGTGCCCTTGAAAAGCCAAGTGTAATAATCCGAGATTAGTGTGTCAGAGAGGAAATGTGAATGTGTGTGTTGCCTTGTAAAGGTTTAAGTGAAACTGTTAGTGTGTGTGTTTGTTCATGAGTTTGTTTGTCAATATGTGGCAAATTCTTACATCAAATTAAATATGCAGATATTTTTATGGTGTCACTCTTTGTTAAATGATCATTTCCTGAAATTTGTATGGATTTGTGTTGTATTTGTTTGGCAGACTAACTAGTGACGTTTTTCATACTTAGTTTTGTTTCAAATGTCTATAGTTCTAAAATTAAGATGAGTTGTGTAGTAATTGCGTTTTTCTTCTGTGTAGTCCAGCAAGAGACACCCATCTCACTCCTTTTTGTCTTTGTCTCTGCATCATTTTACTTTGGGTTGCTTTGATGTTTTTTTTTTTCGTTTTTTTTTAATGAATTTACAAGGTACATGTAAGATCTCTTAGTTAATCCAAAAATATTCCACTTCCATTTCACGTTAAGCTACATAGAGGATCAAAACTGACATAATTAAAGATAAAAACAGAAATATACATATTTGTGCTTTTACTTTTAATTATGCCAGTTTTTCATTACGCTACAGTCAGAGGCTGATAAAGTTCTTTCAAAATTATTGAAATATATATTTTTAGTTTCAAATTTAAAATGCAAGATTTTTCATCAACTACATAAAAAAATAGCAGTACTGTATATTTTTCAAATGATAATTTTTTTTTTTTATTGCAGGCTCATGATTTGGGGATTTTGGTGAGGTTTGGGTAACTTGTTACATTTTACACTTTATTTTACACTGTGAAATAAATTCTGCATAAATGTCATAGAAAATATGGAATTGCTCATTTGTCAATCTAAATATTTCTAAATTTTATATATATTAAGACAAATCTAAAATAGTTAACCATTTCACTTGTCATAAAAGCACATATTACATAAACATTTTAGATTTGTTTTAATTTTGCAAAAGCACCCTATAATTTCCAGTTTGTCATTTCACCCTTTTTAAGGATTCTTGTGAGTACCTCGCCTTTATTAAAAACATTTTTGATCCATCTTTCTTGTAAAGTGGCTGAATTACTTCAAAAGCCAGATGCATCATTCAGAACCAGTGCTTTGGATTCATCCAATTTTTTTAGGGTTGTACAATTCTGAAATTTGCATATGAACAGTGTTATTTTATCCTGTTTTTCTAAAGCTTTTCCCACTTGTGTTCTCCATTCACATCTTTTTAAGGACAGTGTGCACCATGCCAAGAAATGCCAGGTGTTTGACTAATAGCTCCTTGGAACCTGCTAAACTGGTGCAAAAGCACTATTTTATGCTTGTCAATCTGTGTTATCCGAGACATCTTTCAACTGAAGGAATATGAGGAGATGACATGCTTTAGCTAAATTTTGTCTAACCATCCTAATAATGGTCCACTTACATGAAAAGAGCTGTTTATTGGGCCCAGATTGTAAAGGAATTCACAGTGATATTACACTTTGCCTTAAAACTCTTTATTAACATGTCTTAACTTTTTAAAATCAATGTTGCAGTCTGTATCAAGAGTTCAGTAAGTTAAAAAAAGACTTTTATAAAATCTTTAACAGGTAGATCTTAACACCGGGGAGCTTTCATACAGTCTTCATTTAATTTGAAGAACCCTTCTTGGAAATATGGTTTTGTAAAATGAAGAAATAGAAGACTTGCATAACAGAAAAGCTGCGTGTATTTCTCTTTTAAAAAGCCTCGAAGGCCTTGTCAGACATAATATTCATCTGTGTCTCCGTGTATCTCTATTTTAGGTGGAAGGGATGAGCAGAGGGGTCTTGCTGCCATCAAAAGGATTTGTGAAGAGGACAAGGAGGCCAGAGGTAGCACTGTAAACACGTTAGCATTCACGCAAATACTTCTAGAAAAGCAGACTCAATTTAGCAATGAAACATTTTGTGCAAAATCTCAGTCTCAGCTTTGTTTTTAGAATCTAAGCACACACACACACACACACACACCTGTTTGCACACCTGCCGGCACATAAACAGAAGCTTTAATTATTCTATTCTTAACTACTTGGAGTGCCCATGATGAACAAAGACATAAAAATACTGCAGGAGTGCAAACAACACAAACACTACACTTTCAGTCGTTTTCTCGCTCCTGTTCTTTCCATTCAAAACCCAGGCTGACCAACAGCTGTAAACCCAGAACCTGGCCACCATTCAAATTTGTGCTGCCATGTTGATGAATTTGAACACAGACATGTTTTTCCAGTGAAAGATGTGCTGCGCCACGGCAGAAAAAAGAAAACCGTTTCTAGAAAGGAGGCAGGAAAAGAAATGAAGCCGCAGAGGAGGTGATGGAGATAAGAAGAGACAATTGATAACTGAAATTTATCACTTCATCGACTAGAGCTTAAAGGGTTCTCTTTTTTCGTTTTCTGGTGTTGAGAAATTAAATCGGCTGACCTTCAAAGCACCATCAATTCCAGTAGTGTCATGACAAGGATGCCATAACTTATTCCTTTCTCCGCATGAAGAGGCCTTGAGTTTAAACTACACTTTATTTCCATCACAATTGAAATTATGCTTGACTTGAATTTCAAGTCAAACTATACTTGAATTTATTGGTAATTTTTTTGTAAAACAGTGCAGAATACGCATCACTGGCAGGCTTTACGTTTATTTGCACCTGTTAGATTAAGCAATAGTTCAAATGTGTGTGATTTTTGGTTCTTTGAATTAGGAGCTGCGCCAATCAGAATTTTGAAATATATTTCCTGTCTCTAGATTTTCAAGGTTTTGACCTGGAAATCTAGAGGTTAATTTAGTCAATTTTTAGTTCATCCTTAATTATTATTTACTGGCAAATTGTACATTTCTATTTTTTTGGATCTTCCATAAGCAGCAACTTCAGTTTTTTCAGTCACCATGTTGTTTCACTACCTTTCTTGACATGATTTCCAATGTGGGGAGTTTTCAAAGTTCATTTTATGTGTTATAATAATAATAATAATAATAATAATAGTAATAATATTTTGGGGGACCTATTAAATTGAGTGATCGGTGGGTGGTCAACAAACTGACTATTTTCTCCATCTGAAATTTCAATCTGAAAAAAGGAACATATGAAATGAAAAGTAGCTGAAAAAATATCAGCCTGTCTAAAGACATGCCACTGGATTAGAAAAGCACAAAGACGCAACAAAGCAAAACTGAAATTTTTCTTGTTTGCACGTTTCTTATTTTGATAACAGATAACATTTAAATTTAAGGCTAGAAACATGTTTAAAAAACTCCTGGATTTGCTGATTACCACTATGTTGCATCACCCTTCCTTGCAAATTACAGTCACATTTTTTATAAAAAAATGTTGAATACCTCTCATTTTGTTTATTTGGGTAGAGTAGTTCTCAATAGAGCAATGCCATTTATTAAGCACGACTTTGGCATGTGTGCTTCGGCCTTGTGAAGGCTGCAGAGGGCTGAGGGTGTCAGGTACTTAGACAGCAGGCATGTAGCCGGTGTCATTGAAGTCGATTTCCCTGGATGCGGCCATGGTAGAATTGATTACTTCTTTTGTAATTGGCAGACACTGAGACAGAAGGGACATGGGGGTGTCTACAGCCAGCTGCTTGTGCGCTGAATGCGAATGTGTTGATGTGCGTGTGTTTGGGCGTGTAGAGCGAGACAGTAATGGATTCTCATTAGTATGTGAAGCAGCAGCCTTAAACATCTCTGTCCAAAAGGCCTTTGGCACCCTTCCCAGTTTGTGCACATTTGTCTGTTGGGAGAAATTGGCGACAGTTTATAATAGACATGTGGGTTTCAGAGGTAGTTTCATCTGATCACTTCATGGTGTCACCAGTGGAAAGAAAATCCACTTCAGTGCTGAATGTCTTTCTATGTTCGAGTTCGTTCACGCATCATTTATCTTTTAGTCTCAAACTTGGAAATGGAGATGAAACTAGAAGTCGACATACACCAAATAAGAAGACACACACATCTTTTATGTCACTGTCTGAAGATAAATCAGACCAAACCTCTTCACTTATTACTGAACCAACATCTTGGTTTAGATCCAGGCATGCCTATCTGTTTGGACAGCCCAGTCAAAGTCCAGACCTAGTTCCAATTGAGAATCTGTCACTAACACGGTGCCTTCAGGCTCCAGGCTGCCCCTGAAGGCCATATGAATTGCCTTTGGAGCAGTTCCAAGGATAGATAAACCATTAATTAATAAGTTATGTAATTAAAAGTAAATTTTGTGTATCACACTGCTAACCCTTTGTATTACTTGTTAACCATGAAGTAGCTCTCAGTTGCAAAAAGGTTTGTGACCCCTGTTCTTGAATGTAATGGTTCGTAGGAGCTGAATCATGGAGGATTGATTTTTATTGGAAAAAAAAATCAATATTTTTATATACATATAAAAAAAAAGTCAAGGAATATTAATACTTTTCCAAAGCACATTAAATCAAATATTGCTTTAAATATTAATTTTTTCAGGTATTTTTCAAAGCAGAAGTACAACCTCTTTGCTCCATCTGGCATCCGTTTTCAGTGTATCGCCTGGTTTAAAAACAGCCTCTGTCCCCAGAAAACCTAAAAACAATCCTGTGGGTGTATGATAATGACTTCAGACTACAATTGAGTGCTAGTCCATGAAGTTAAATTATGAACATGTACATAAACACACCGGCCGTTCCTGTATATTTGCTGCAGGCAGTTCTGGCTGTCCACTAACTTTAGTCACGGTGCATTGAAAGTAGCACAATGTGCCTCAAACCATAGACCTAAATTAAGAGCGTGAAGCAAGGCAAGCTGTGTAAGTGTGTGTGGTTAACTCGCATTAAATTTCTTTCATCTTTCACCTAACTCCAAAGTGGTCGAGTTTATTTTTTTCTCTCTCTCTTTTTTTGTTTTCGTCGAGCTCTGAGATCACACATACTGGAAGGTGAAGAGAAAATATATGCAAACACGTCTTTTTATTATTATTTTTTTTTTATGTTTTTATTATTAAGAAAGTAAATACATGTTTGAATTTGCAGCTGTCTTTACTCTGGTGGTTGCAGCATCACATGAATGGTATAGACTGGAGTTGACTGAACACCAGCCAGCCTCCTCTCCCTTACAGCAGCTGAATAAAGAACATCTGTGGAGGAGCTGACACTGGCATGCTGCCCAGAGCTAATATTCTTGGATTCCACTGTTTTATCAGACAGCTCAAAGTGAATCTATTTATATTGCTGTCTCCGAGAGCTTGTTCGGAGGTACCGGTTCATTCATTGTGCATTTTTTACTCCTGAATCAAGTGGTAGTTTTCAGATTTGTAATTAAATGACAAATCTTATTGCCTTCGTCCGGGTCAAACTGGGTTATTTTAAGGCCAAAAATCAATCACGAAATCAGGTCAGAGGATAAAGCTAAATCATCCCGTTCTCACAGGGATATTTACCGACACCTTTAGTGAGTAATGCAGTGTCTCTGGTCTCTTGGTAGCCAGGGGAGGATTTTAATGTGTTTAACAGCAATGCATTTTAATATCAGATTTAGGTGTAATCCTGCTTAATCACAACTCCTGTGGTCTGAGTTGGAACGCTAGCATGTTAAAGCCAGGTGGAAATGGGGATTTATGAGAAGCTAGATGCATTCCTGTCATTTCTTTATTCTTCTTATTTCATTTCTCTGCTTTGTACAAATTATATCATCACCTTATTCTGACCATGTGTTAATGTCTTCATTTTCAAAATGGTGGTGGTAGTTTATGGTTTCTATGACAAAAATAGGTGTTCAGCAGAACTTTCCTTAGTACCGTAAATATGGTGGAAGGTCTTGTGTATCTAGAAACCAGGCTTGAAAAATTTAGTAACATTTTACAATTTTTGTTTCTCAAACTGCTGGAAACCTGGATTAACACAGATGAGAAATGGTTATACTTTTTCAGACTAAACTAGCCTTTAGTGATAAAAAAATAACATGATTACAACATTATGAAAAATATGTTTCCACACTGGCAAACTTTATGAGCACTTACCTAATTGTTTTTGTATCTCTGTGTTCGTTCAAGTTCATCATTTTGTTGGATATCACTTTAAAGGATGTTTATTCATTGTTTTATTTGATTAAATGAATGGTACTTCCTCTACATAATTTGTGCAATGTTGTATTGAAAATTGAAGCGACATATACTACTTTTTCTCTATCAAATCTTTCTCTCTCTTTATATCTGAATTGTTAAACCGAGACTAAAATATTGTTAGGTTTATTAGTTGCCTTTATTTTTCTCTGTTTGATTAGGTACTGCTTTTGTGCTCTGATTAACTATTTATGTAAATATATTGTGTGCCAAATAAAAAAAAAAAAGGGGGTTCAACTTGGGACTGTTTTCTCTTCCGTATGTCACACAAAGAGCATCCGATTGGGATTCAAACCAAAGCTATTTCTGTTGCAGAGATGACATGAAAACATGATGGTTTAACAGGTCTAAGCTAAGGTTGGAAAACGCTGATCTCCAAACAAGGCTGTTGGTTTGGCTTCATGAAAATCACTGTTTTTTTTTTTTTTTTTTTTTTTTTTTTTTTTTTTCATTTGAAGTTCTGAAGATGAAAACATGGTTTATAGAACCTTCAGCTGCAAGATGAAATATATTTTTCATCATAACTTCCAGAATGTTCTGTACTCTGGGTGTATTTAACATCCAACATCGAATCAAAAAATCTGATCCTTTTTCAGTTTTTCTTGATCGGTGAACTCATCATACAGTGCAACTGAGCTGGAAGCTGTTAGAGCGAGAAGAAAACTCAAAAGTTACCTTCTTCCGTTCTAAGCAAGGTTTTCTAAAGAGACACTATTTGCATTTTGTTCAGGCTCTTGGATCACAAGAGATCAAGACTTTTAGCAGATAGCAGGAAGGCTTATCAGAGTTCAGTAAACATGCTCAGTTTTATCCTTTTGGGCTTTCAGTCTCTTTCCCAGAGCATTGCTTTACATTCTACAGGATGCATAGATGGAGAATGCCGTTTCTGCTATACTAAGTGTGCAGATTGATGTGGTCAATTTGTCTTTGTTTTAAAATGATAGTAAATCATTTATTAGATGTCTTGTTAAAGCTCTGATTGTTGAATCTGAGTTGTTTTGGTATCACGGAAACGGTTTATAAGAACTCGAGATCGGAATCGGTCTCAAAATTCCAATCAGTGCAGGTTTCTCTGCGCTGATTAGTTTATTCAGCTCAGGCCGGTTTAGCTTGACAACATATCTGCTGACTGTGTAAATTTAGGAATTGTTTTCTGGGGGAAGTAAAAAAAAAATCTCTGAGCTTAAACAAAAATTACCTGAAGAATGTCTTATGGAAAATTTTTTTTGCTTAAATAAAATTTATTTGCTCCCCTGGCAGCTTCTCTGTCACCAGTCAAATAAAGATGGGTCAGTTTTTACTACTATTAGTTGTTGATTTTAAAGGTACACCCATTATTTCACTGTGTCACTGTTTCAGTGTCTGACCATGTCATTTGTCAGTTAAGATAATCTTGGCTGTTTCATATAGTTATGAACCTGTTCAAATCTCTGATCTCTGGACTAGATGTAATGAAATATGGTATACTATGGCCGCTTATCAAAGCAAGACGACTCTGAGCAACGGTAGATTTGATTTAATTGAACAACAGATTTCTTTACAATAGACTGAGAAGATTATAGACATTTTCTTTCAGCCTCTATTGTATCTGTCCACAGGTGGACAGAAGCATGTGAATGAAGGCAGATCATGGAATAAATACATCTTTGTTTACACTTTATACTATACTATACTATACTATAAAACTATTGTATTTTTCCTAAAGTTCATGATGTGCTGAGAATATAATTCAAACAGGATTAATTCTGCATTCACAGAGATATAGGAATTTCCCTGTTTTTCTGGAGAGGCAAATGCATCCCCATAAAGGAAGCAAATACATGCTCACAGCCATTCGAATACAAACACTCTCATTTTTCATTATGTTCTCTGCGCGCCCTTTCAATCTCTCTGTCTCACACGTGCAGTCAGAAAGAGGTGAATGGCAAGGCCTGGAGATAAGTCTGCTATCAGATCTTGATCAGGGACAGCCGCACTCTCGCCGTCTCTGCAGCCTTTTTTTTATTATCAGTCCCATCAAATCTCCTCTCCTCTGTTTCCCTCTCAGTCCTCTTTCTGTCTTTGTCCATTATATTTGAACCTCTTCAGACATACAGGGGTTATACAGTGGAATAATATATTATTGCCTTCTCTTAGAAAGTCCTGATCTGTTTGTGTTGTGTTTGAGAGAAAGCAAAAAAATAAAAAATAAAATAAAATAAAATAAAAAGGTTAGACCAAGACCTTTATTTATTCAGGTTTGGGAAATAAAGGAAGTGCTTTTATCCATAAAAGTTTGGATTAAAGCCTTTAAAGTGGGCTTGATAATAAAACTGCTCCTACTCTTTGAATATTTTGAAGAATTTATGTTGTTTGAGGTATACTTACCAAACCTAATGAACTGTAAGTTCTTCTCTTTAACATTTTTACTATAATCAGGCAGTATTCTTTATAATATGTACTGTGAGGTACATATTAGATTTCACTGTCATGTTATCATGCAAATTATGAAGCAGTTTAAGAGGCAGCACATGACATATTTTCATGATGCATCCCAACAGCCATTTTAAGTGTTTGTGTGAATCTATCAGCTAGAAAAGAGAACCAAAATGATACAATGTAGTTCTTATTGTTCTGCTTGTAATGCTTGAAATTTAACTCTGTAATAAATCTAGAGGTGGATGGATCGTGGAGGGAGAATCTAAACCATTTCTTCATGAGATGAGTTTTCAATTTGCTGCTCGAGATTCGAAATGACTCTGCATTCATGACCGCAACGGAAGGGGCATTTTGCTGCTACAGAGCTGTTGGAGGAAAAACACTGTTGCCCATCAATGTTTTCATTTATTGAAATAGTAAATGAAGAGCAAAACAGAAACAAGAGCTCAATAAAATTTGAAGATACTATAGCCTACATTATTCCGGGGGTGTAATGTTTTATTTCTGCTTTTTCTCCTTCTTTTGATTTTGGAAAAACAGTAGTAGTTTTGTGACCCATTTTAAATCTCCAATTCTCCAAAAAGACAAGCTTTCAGAACGTAGAAACCTTTTTTGCTTTCTTGCAAAAGCAGAAATTTCTGTTTCCTTTAATCTTTTGCAGCTTAATATTCTCCGAGGGGAAAAACAAACTTCAAACCTCAGGTTACGTTACATTGTTAAACCAATTATTCATTTAATGCAACTATGCAGGAAACTTTCTGTGACTGATGACTTTTAGTCATTTAAATTGCATCCAGAGGTGTCATTTCATTTTTTAACACCTTAGGTGTTAAAAATTATGAAAATAATTTCCTACAGTCATTAAGTCCATACTTTATTCCTTTCCTTCATTAATTTTCTTCCTCCTGTCCAAACAAAGAAAGAATTTGTTTTTGCTTGCTTCTTTCTCATTTGCTTTATTTTCTATACTTTCTTGCTTTCGTTTCTTTCATGCTGTCTTTCTTGCTTGCTCTCGCCGTACCTATCCGTAGTTTTCAGAGGTATCTAAGAACTTAAAACATGAACTCAGCACTGGCAGTAAATTCATGGTTAACTTTTCTATTTTCCGTTTCAAAAATGAATTTGACATGACAAATGTGCAGGAACCCTGTTCAAAGATAAACCATCACCAAAACGCAGAGCCATCTTGGCTCCTTTGTAGGGCTCTCCTACCTCTATCTTATGCACTAAAGCTCAGATAGCAAAGTCTTAAGCTTTGATGGGTTCTGACAAAATTAGTAATTTAAGATATGAAATGATGGACTAAGACATAGCAGTGGGAGAGCCCACTATAAGAGATGATTAATACTCTCTTTGATGTTTTACTGGCAAAAGTGCTTGCAGGAATAATCCATTTACAATCGCTTGTGTGTGTATGTGTGTGTGTGTTTCTGTCCATTCCAGTGGAGTTTGAGAAATTGGACCTTGCTTCATTGCAGTCAATCCAACAATTTGCTGTGAGCTTCAAGAAGAGGAACCTGCCACTTAATATTTTGGTAAATAATGGTAGGTAAGACACATGTAGTCTTAATCTGTAGAGTCGTCATTTACATGAAGTTCCTTGCAAGCATATTCATACCTGTTTGACCTTTTTCACATTACGTCACATTACAACCACAAAATTCAATGTAATTTTGTGGGTTTTATGCGGCACATAATATTTCATGGGTATGAAGTGAAAGAAAGAGATAAAGATGTGAAAATGCTCTCTGTCAGGGTGAACCACAGTGGATAGTTTTCTGGAGGAGAAACAGCTGGATGTTTTCCTCCAAGGAGTACAACTGTGAAAACATTCAGCCAGAACTACGATGTATTGGTTTAGTTCAAAGCATATGCATGGGCTAGAATGATCTAGACAAAAATAAAGCTGAGAGTCTGATGCAAAAGCTTGACACTCATGAATGCTCTCCATCTAATCTGACAGAGCTTGAACTTTTTTGCAAAGATATTTAAATCTTTCACTCCGAGGCTTAAAGCTGTTGGCTATATTTCAAAAGCTATGCTGCTGTAATTGCAGCAAAGCTGAAAATGCAGGCCCAATCCTTTTTAGATTTTTATTTATTTGTAATACCTAAAAAAAAAAAAAGAAGAAGAAATACATTTAATTTTCTCCCGACTTCATAATCTTGCACTGCTTGTTTGTGGACAGGTAAAATCTCATTAAAATTCAATGAGGTTTGTGCTTGTAACATGGCGAAGTGTGGAAAAAGTTAAAGCAGTATTAATACCTATGCAAGTGCATTACTTTATGTATTCAGCACAAGTTTTAAATCCTCAGCACTAAAGTGTAGTTTTAATGCTGTCAACAGTGTCAGAATTTAAATTCTGTGCAGAGGATTTAAATCTCAGTTGCACCGTTTGGAGAAACATTTTACATATATACATAGAAATTGAACTCGAGCACCTCTTTCCTCTTCATTAAACTCCACTTTAGAGGCAGATATGACCCGTAATATTAACATCTAAGTTACTGAGTTATTTTCTGTACCTTCCTCTGTTCGTCATGAAGGTCATCGCTAAACTTCGAGACGTTAATCTGAGCTGGGCTTTTCTAGGAGTAACGTGAGAAGTACAGGAGCTTTAAAAAAAGTCTCAGAGTGGATAGGTTTTAATTTAAAATGAGATTCCCGTGATCGTCTTTAGGTCAAAATTACAAATAGCTTTGGAAATGAAAATCCGCTGACATAAATGAATGATTAATTGATGCTAAAAGTCCCATTATCTAATTTCAAACTTGCCAAGGTCTTGTAACTTCCTGTAAGTAATCACTGATTGCAGCTGGTAGCTTCTCTATGCCAGGACTAAAATGGTCTGTTTAGGCATGCAGACAAGCGTCTATGAAATAAATTTCAACAATTTCTCTAAATCATGTTTATCCCAAGAGTTTTTCATATGAAATTGGACGGCGAGACGATGTGAGACTCTGGGTGACTGATGGCGCACAGACCTCATATTAAATTAAGCGGTTGTTTACCCGTGATAGATAGGGTTCATTGGTCCAGCATATGCAAGGGAGCAGCACACAATTCTCTTTCTTTGAGTTTTGCTCTGAATGGTTGTTGCCTCCAAAGGCCCTTTCCTGGTACGCTGAGGAAGCAGTCAGTTTTTGGGAAGGTTGCCAATGTCTGTCACCCTTGTCGTTTCCGGGCGGAACACGACGTCTGTGTTGTTAACATTTTGAATCACTGTCAGGTTGGTCAGAAAGTGAGATTGCTCATAGCATAAAGAATTTCTGATCGGAACAAGAGGTGGCAGTGAGGACAGAAAGCTAACAACTAAATCAACGTGTCACAAGCAGTCCCTTCTCATTTGTCATTTTGATTGCTCCTAAACAAGAAACATTTTTCACAACACTTTCATTTTCGATGGCTGAGACACGAGGTACACCCCTGCTTGGTCACCAGGCCCTCACACACGACAAGTTCTAGCTGTAAAATCGCTATCAGATCCTATTAACTTGAGGTTGATGTTCCTTGTGAGAAAGCTGGAAGTCGGTTTACGAGTTTACAAGTTGTTTTGAAGGTCCGTCGTCCTAACAAAGCTTTCTTTTTTAACGTACTTTGAATGAACGGTGAGAGAGGAACCCTTATAATGCAGTAAACAAGAATCTGTACCATTAGATTGAACACCAGCACAGCAGTGTGCAGTCAGATTTGTTCCCCCAAGCAAAATCTGGAGTATTCTCCTTTGTCCAAGCGTTCCTCCAAATCTAATAAAAAGTTGAGAGCTATGTTTATTATGATTTGGGAGTTTTTTCGCATACGAAGCTAGTAACAACAGATATGTTGACTTTTGTTTATCTTAAGCCGGTGTGATGCTGGCTCCTGAGGGCCGAACTGAGGATGGGTTTGAGCAGCACTTTGGTGTGAACTACCTAGGCCACTTTCTGTTGACCTGGCTCCTCCTGGATGCACTGAAGGATTCGGGGAAGTCCGGTGACGTCTCCTGCGTGGTCAATGTTTCGTCGTCAGCTCATTCCATCGGGGAAATCAGACTGAATGACTTAAACAGCTGGTGGGTACACACTTCTTCCACTTTCATGAAATTACTACACATTTTGTCAAGTTACAGATAAAATTTGGTTTGATGATAGACCTTCACAACTTTGTACAGGATCTCGAAGTGGAAGAACATTTTTTCATGATTTTTTTTAGAAATTAAAATCTTAAAAGTGAGACACTTTTATTCAGCCTTTTTCTGGAATTGCAGTTTGGCGTGTCTCTACGGGTTTAACACATGTAAAGATTTAAATTTGTGCCCATTCTTCTTTGCTGAGTTGCTCAAACTCGATAAGATTGGGAGAGTTGCATTCTGGGTGATGGACTGTGTTTGTTTTCCCTCTGAAGCCTTCACAGAACATCTGTATTTATACCGAGATTGAATTACACGCAGGTCGTAGTAACAGTTTCAACAAATATGTAAAAAAACATTATTCTTTATAAATGTTATATACTGCAGCTTTAAGTGCTATTCTAGAAGCAACAGCATCGTAAAAGGGAAAATGTTAATTGAATGGTACAACATTTACAAGTCCTGGATAACAATTATCGTCTATCTGCCTTGACGGACCATGAAAACTGTATATATTTTGCTTAAGGAATGATTGTGGTATTTTTTCCTCATTCAGAAAACAATTTCATACCAGATGTTGTTACACTCGATGTCTTGGTGTTTGCATTATCATTAGCTGTTTCAGTTTGTTTTGGCATTGATGAGAAGAAAATTGTTTCACGTGTCTCATTATCGTCTCAGCTCTTATCACTGCTGTCAGGAAGTATTAGCAGCTTAGATTCTTCATTCTTTTTGCTCATTTGCATGTCCATGGGTTATAGCTGATGTTCTTTAACTTTCATTCGTGGCTCTGAAGTCTTCCAGGCATAGCACTTGTGATGGAGATAACCATCTGTAACATAAAGAAAGATCTAACAGGTCTTTTCTTGTAGTTTTGTGTTGCGCTTGTAATGAATGTGAGATACAGATCTGTTTAGAAACAGGCTGTCGCTCTGTTTTGCTTCATCATTAATGTGGCGTTGGCATACGAAGATATCATCATATGGAATAATTGTTGGGGGCGGGGGGGTTATTGCAAACATGGATATGAGGAACTTTTTATCCTTCTGATAAATAAATGGTAGCCTGACATTTATTTTGTTTTTCATCAGTTTTTTTTTTTTTTTTTTTTTGCTCTGCATCAAACCTGACAGATTTATTGCTGGGGATCAAAGGAGGCACCGTGTCAATTTTGAAGTCTTTTGAAAGAACAAAAGGGGTTATTTTAGGGTTCCTGCTTTGTGAACTGTCAATGATATCACAACTGCATATCACAAAAGTTACCATAAAATCAGTCTAAGCTTTCACATGGAAAGCTAAAAACATAGACTGACTAATCAGAGAATACTGTTGATCATTCAGATTGCTGATTTCATTTAATAACACACAGCTGGACTCGCTATTTAGTGTCATTATTAAAGTCTAAAGTACCGTTGTGTTTTCTGTTTCTTCAGCCAACATTATTCAGCTCATGCTGCTTACTGTGGCAGTAAACTGGCCCAGGTGCTGTTCAGTTCCCACCTTCACCAGGAGATGCAGAGAGAAGGTTTTCCAGTGGTTTCATGTGCCGTGGATCCAGGCATGGTGGATACGGCTCTATATAAGCATCTCTGCACACCTCTACATTTGGCACAAAGTCTAATTGCTCGGATCCTGTTCAGGGTAAATGTTCAACATTTTCTAAAAATATATATTTATGTTTTTTTAAAGGCGAAAAACAAACCCCTAACAAAGACATTGTTTAATTTTGTGCATTGCTTGTGTTTTATTGGAACAAAAACCCCCAACTCCAGTACCTCCTCTTTGTGAAGTGAGTGATAACTCTATTTAAAAATCCTGTCAGGAGCACCTGGTTGTGGCTGACTAATAGCAGAATAAAGTTCTTACCACTTCTTCATTATGGCACCTACTTTGCACACTGGACGATTCAGAAGCTGAGATTTACACATGCAGCCAATGCACTCAGTATGTTTTGCAAAACTCAGGCTAAGAAGGTTTTGAGAGAGCTCTCTTCTTTTTCCACATCACCAGCTGCTTGTGCAATACCATGGTAACAAGAAACCTTTTTTGTAGGTCATCAATTAGCACTAAACCAATAGATCAATAGACTGAGAGCAGAATTGCTTTAATGTCCCGTCTTCCTATGCCATGTTGCAACTTCCTTTGTATGTGTAATACCTATTCCTTGTTCCATTCCACTTTATTACGTGTAACCTAAATAATGTTTGTACTTAGGTTTACATTTCTTCTCAGAAACTATTGTTGGTGGTCATAGCCCTCGATGTGAACAAATACAGTCCTACAAAAGAACAAATGAAACTTAATTTTGTACATACTGTGATCCGATATGGCTTGCACATGATGCTTACCACAGAACAGAACTTTTCATGCTCTTAGGAGGCATTTTAAAATGTGTTTATGGTGACAGTAAATCTTTCTTAAAATTTCAACAACACTGCATCCAACACTTAACGTCTGGAACAAACGCACACTTTGTTTGAGCCTAACTTTTCTTCCTTATCTTAACCTGCAGTGACAGCAGTTGTTCTGCTTTCATGCACAGTAAATACTGTTCATGCTTTTTCTACTGCTCTGTTTTTTGTCCATGCTTTTGCTTTAGATATGTATGTAAGAATACCTTCTTGGAATCTCAAACTATTTTGCATGTAAATGTATTTTCCATAGACTCCTACAGAGGGCGCTGCCACTGTACTGTCAGCCACTTTGTCACCAGCCCTGGATGAGGATTCTGGCGGAGGCTACTGGGCCAACGGGCGAAGGGAGATGACGACCCCGCCTACATTTGACCCTCAGCTTCCATTGAGTTTATGGGAAATCAGCCTCCGGTTGCTGGGATTACAGTAACATGGGACTCTAAAGATGAGTAGGAGGACTAAATCTATTTGAAAGCATCACATAAAGACCTTAAACTTGGGCTTACATTATTTCTGACCCTTTTTAAAATTATTTTCCAAATCTCACATGAAGGTGTTGGTCGCACAGATAGAACTGTGATTGGTTGCGTAGGGTTTGGCAAGCTGTTGTTCCAGACCTACTTATGAAGGGCTAAAGTGAATAGAATATGTCTTTATATTATGTTGTTTCATTTATATTTCTTTCTAAGCAAACAATATATGCAGACATACATAAATTTGTGTCATCCAGCAGAATCACTAACCAGATTTCTGTAATCAATAAATTTGTTCTTGGATATCAATAATTGGCCATCTAAAAATTGCTAAATCTATGAGTTACAAAACAATTTTTTTTCAACCATCCAAATATTTGGGTTAAGTGATGACGAAAAGGTACGCATTAGTAAAAACAGACTTGAACTTGGAACAATTTTCCCTCAGTCTGTGAATGACTCAACATTTGAAAAATAATTTATTGCATAGCCAGGGTTTCCAGGTGTTTCTTTTTCTCCATCAGTTCAGACACAAAAAAGGAGAAATCGGTCATCAGTTTTTGTTTTTTGATCTGTACTTGTTTTGCATCGGGGATATGTGCGCAGTATGCACAGAAAAGTCTAAGATGAACTCTTCTGGACCCAATAAATGTTGATGGGGAACAAAACAATAATCGGTTTTGGAGGAAGGGGAAAAGGAGAAAGCACTTTTTACTTTTTTGTTTTTTTCTAGCACACAAACTGTGATTGGTTCCCCACAGCTGCAGCTAATGCCACTTTCTTATTTGGCGCCACACCCAGTGCATTGTGGGATGGAAAAATCTCCACGATGCGAATAAAACTATCTGGTGAGCTGATACAGACGCTCACTCGGAAAACACTGGAAGCAGCACATCTAGGCGAAGGCTTATCCAGCAAACAAACACAGCTGTCTCTCATGCAGGGCTACACCCTCACACAAGATGCGCCATAATGCCCTCTCCACTGTGATTAATGCATTTTAGCATTGAAGATCAAATGTTTATCTCAAATTGACATTCTTAGGCTAAATTCTTTGCCATTTAGAAGTCAGCCTCTTATCTTTATTTGCTGTATATAAAGCAATACTATCACTGTGGTAGCGAATTTAGCTACTGGCACAGACATTCAGCGGAGAAGCAGAGAAGTTCCCGATATATGAGTAATTTGAAATTTCTCTGTCTACATGTACAAAGATGTTTAATGAAGAGATTTTTAGTGTTATGCTTTTTTATTTTAGAGTAGCTACGTTTAAAGGTTTTGCCTTTTCTTAAGTAGATGTCTGGATTCTTTTAGGGATGCAGCTCACAAGGTCTCCTCCAGAAAACTGTGAGGTCAAACCGAATCCGTTACTCCTCCCTAAATGAGAGCGTAGATAACCTGCTCTGTCCTTTTCCTGTTAATTTATTTGGACAGCTAAAGGTAGGTGGAGGACTTCATTTTACTGGCCTGTTGTTTTTGTAAAAGTCTACCAGATTTTTTACTTAAACCTGTAGTATCCTCCTGCAACTTTGTCTGTCAGCAATTGTCTGCTTTCTACAAAACAAGATGTCATAAAAAGGGAGGGTTCAGTTTTAGATTGGTAGTAAAGAAATGTTTAATTGTGAAGATCAGGACCTCACTGTGAGACACAGAGAGGTCTGTATAATTTGTCCAGTGATTATAATAACTGTTAGTATGCCCTGCTATCCAGTCATTTTTTTAAAATATATTGTTTCAGATCATGGAGCACCAGGGTTTTCCCTCAACTAATAGAACAACGGGACTCCCTCAAACACAAAAATAAGTTGCTGCAAATTGCTGGTCAGCTGGCTGAAAGAAAACTCTGTTATATTTTTTACTTGCTTCCAAGAAAGATACATTTGTCACAGAATATTTCCGTTAGTTAAAAAAAAAAAAAAAAACACAGTCTTGGTGTGTTTTTCACTTCCTTGGTGCATACCGAGCGCATGCATAGCATAGCATGAGACTGAGCTGTTGCTATCAGATCATTTCATTTATGCAGGTTTTATATTGTTATAAATGTACAGTCCAAAAAGGTCATTATATAGGTAACAGTTTGGTGGTGAGTACTGTACAAAGATGATTTTTGTTCTCTCAGATTTAGACAGAAAACCATTCCTTTTTAAGTCCGTAACCTCTGACCGGTTTTGTCATTTTTGAAGGCTGACTTTAATCAAAGACAACATTTGTCCTGCTTTGATATTTGTGAGAAGTTTAAGAGAACAGGCTGTTGCAAAACACTTGAACAGACTTTCAGACCCTTTGCTTTGCTATGTTTGTCAGGTTTATTTGTAAATACAACAAAATGTTGAGTTATGACGCTTTTGCAATTTCTCCAAGTCCACATATGATTTATTAATAATTTGATTTGGACATACAATTGCACCAGAAGTCCAGTAAATGAGTTATCTCCACCTTGACCAGTCACAACAGTTTTGTGTCATTGCTTCAATTACATTAGTAATTCAATTCTGAAGCAAACAAATCATTAGATGTTTGTTCTTTTTTTCTTTTTGTAGGTTCATAATTGTGTGAGGACTGACTACTCAATGCCAGCAATATTTCTCAGTGTTGTCACACAATACTCGGAAACTGTTCGCCTCAATGCTTCCTTGTTTGATTGTGACTCCCTTAGGCTACTGGAGTAAATAACACACATATTCCCACTGAAACAAATGTGCTTGCTTCCTGTGACACAAATGGAAAAAACACCAGCTTACAACTCAGCTCTGCTCTTCTATAGAGTGCAAGGCTACAAATGTGTGCTACTTCCTGTCAAAGAGCTATCTAGTCTTTCTCAGTCCAGCTGCTTAACTAGGTGTATTTAAATGAGGGAGAAGTGAGACAGAGGGGACCAAGAGAGCTTCAGACTCTTTCATCTGAGCACAAGGTTATCCAAAGAGTGAGCGTTTGACAGAGGCACGAACAAGCAAGTGAACTGTCCAAACTTAAACTGCAAATTTAGAAAAGGAGCTAAAACGGCTCCAGTAAGTAGTTGTCAGTGGTTTCGTCTACGTGGTTAACTTGTATTTGATTATTTAAAGTGCTGGAGGAGCCCAGAGGAGGTGTTTGTAGATTGAAAACACTTTAATAGCCATTCCTTTGACTGACCTGGGATTACATTTATATTAAATGTTCTAGTCCCATGTTTTGCAAAATCCTAAATGTGTATATGTATATGAGGAGCTGAGTATAAAAGGGGAGCCAGATGAACTGAGTCCTTACTTTGGGACAATTAAAGTATAAGAAAATATGTTTGTTTACCCTGTTCACTTAAAGCATGGAAACCTTATACTTGTTCTAAGTCCAGGCTTGCATTTTTGAGACTCAACAAAAAAAAAAATGCTCCCACCACAGAACCATGGTAAAAACTCAGTTCATCTCGGCCCTTTGAGGTTTTAAGAAAAACGTGTTTTACTTTTCTCATATTTTTTGCTGTTGTTGAGATGCACATCTTATTGCTTTTTCTGTGCCTAAGAAGAAGAAGAAAAAAAGAACTCCCTCTTATGTGACTGTGAATTTTCTCATGTAGAACTGAACTAGTAGTAACTGTGATACCGTCTTGTCCCGTGCATTGCCGTAAGTTTTTTCTCTCGAGAGCGATGGGATGGAGACCGTTTGGTTACGTGCGCCTGTATGCGTGAGTAAGTGTCTGTTTAGTTAAGGGAATCGATGTCCATGTTTCCTGTCTACGGTTGTAACATTCCAGCAGCAGCCACCCCTATTTTTTCTATTATCCAAAGCCTCTCAATAAACATATCATTGTGCCACTCGCTCTCCATGTCTTTGCACCGTCTCATCGAGAATCTGTCAGCCTGAATATCCTCAGAATAAGACTGCCAGCCTCAAGCAAAGTCTGAACTTTGGAGACATTCTCAGATCCATACGTGAAACGCACACTGGTATGTCCCCATGTTTCCGTCATTTCAGAGGACATAACATTTCCTTGGATAGATTTCCTATTTTGTCTACATTTGTCTTATTTTAAGCCTAGTATAAAATATAGTAAAAAAAAAAAAAAAAAAAATATGCGATCTACAGATTATTATTTTATGAAAATGTGGGGGAAAATCCACATATAATTATAGCCTACATGGACAAAGGTTTGGCTTAGATTGATGCCCATGAAAGATAATTGAACAGATTATCCATCAATTTACAATATGGCTTATTCCCATATAAGGATGTGAATAAGTGGCACAACCTAAATTTGGTTAGCGGAATATTGCCGAGAGCCTCACGCTGACCCCACCATGTTCTTTTCTTACTATAAAACAGCATGCTGCCATTTCCTCTAGATAAATGACTCGCATATACCTAGCTGTTCAAATGATGATAAAATGAAAGATGAATTTTCAGACCAAGCCAATATTTTCTGGTTTAGAGCTGATGGCAGGACAGAGGTTGGCATAGCTCCTCTGGGCCATAAACATCTTTCCTCAAGCAACAGTTTTATTGGTTTAACTGATTTAAAATACCTAAAAGCTCAGAAACAATCGATTAATACAACACAGAGACTATTTCAATATAAGTGGTTATTTTGAATGTACAGTACACCTGGAAATTTAAACAAATGTTGCCTTGACGCTGCAGATATGTCTTTTATTGTTCAGAAGGTAACGGCACCTTGTTTCACTGAGGCTGCCCCAAATTTTCAGAGATGCTGAAATTTGTACCATTTTGGATTTTGTGGGAGTGATGCGAAGTTATGTCTGCTGGGTATCAACCCAAAGAACCTCATATCTCCAATATTGATTCATTTTGCACTTCCACAGGCAAGAATCAGTAATTTCACAGGGAGGAAAAATAGGCACCATCAACAATGTGGGTGAAGGGAATGTTGGCATTGGAAATGCATGGAGAACATTATTTGATTGTCATTGTACATAATCGAATTAATTACCTGAATATGTTTGCTTATTCAGTGAAACGTATTTATTTAAAATGTTGAGAAAGTCAATAAAAGTATTAAATATAAGTATTTAGCTGCTCAGCCATGGAACCTATTCCATTAAGGAGGTTTTAGTTGTTGTTTTGTAAAGAAATAAAAATAATATATATCAACATAAACACCTTACCCCAGTAATGAATGTTGGGGCAGCAGCATCAGAGCTAGGGATCCAAAAAGGCTCAACAACCTGATGTATGACAACTCAACCAAGGCATATTCAACAAGCGGAGGAAGAGAGCTGCATCCTGTGTGTGCGTGTGTATCTGCTTGTTGCAATCACTCGTTGACATAATTGGCATAAGAAGACAGCAACTTTTCACCAAAGGAATATAAGAATATAAAGATTCTCTACATTTAACTGACTGCAGTGTCAACTCGTTCAAAAAGAACATGTGAAGGAAATGAGATTAAAAATGACAATGCAAGCATCGTCATTAATAACTGCACAATTGATGCTAAAGTGTTTTGGACAGATTGTGGATTCACATTAATTATAATCTGTTGTGGCATAATTATGCTTAATAATTCTTAGTTAGCCATTAAATTGGGTTTCTTTCTGCATGAAATCCTTATGGATATATAATTAACCCACGGTTTACTGTATCACGGACAGGGAAGAGGAGAGTAAGCCTTTATTTATGTAATTACTAGCCTTGTGATGTGTCATTGCTTATATTAGAGTTCAGTCCGTTTCAGTTTATTTTTTTATGCACAGAACAACAACAGTCATGTTGGGGTTTGAGGTTTTCTTATGGAGATGGAGAGAGGCAACTGAGCATTCCTGGTTCTCTGGGTTAGAAACAGAAAACAGAACCAAGTCATTTCATATCCAGTTGCCCATGCACAGGTGATAACAAAGACAGGGAAGTGAAGACATTATCTCACAAGGCAGTAAACGATTAATGTAAATGATACGGAGAGCACACATTGAAGCACACTCCACACTTTATTCAGTCTAGTAACATGTAAAAATGTCTTAAATTGAATCTTTTATCTGGGAAGCATTATGTAATGATGAAAATGTATGGGATATTGAAGTGTAAATTTGGAACACTTCATTCGTGGGAACAATCAAAATAAACAAAGGAGATTTCTAAACCGAAGGAGAACATGGAAAAACCTGGGTCAGCAAATATTGCTGTTTATCAAATCACTGCCATCATACTTATTGGTACATGTCCTATTATGTTGTAAAAGTGCACTTAATCTTTGTTTTGTATACAAGTTCAGTATTTCATCAGTCTATTGCTTTATGCACCTTAATATGTTTCCAAGGAGCTTAAAAAAGAAACAATACTGTGCATCATACGTAACAGTGATGAGGTGCTTTCCCCCCCTGCTCTTACATAGTTTTGTTCCAGATCCAGATTTGTTGCAGAAAAGCTTGGTTTCTATTTCATTCTCCCCAAAAGATGGGGTTTTAGGTGAAGTTCCTGCAAACTCTGAATATTTATTTCAAGATAAACTCACACATGTAAACTCGACTCTTTGTTGCAGATCCAGTTGTTTTAAACTTGAAGAGCAACTCAAGGAACAAGTTGTTTTACTCCAAGGAAGCATGAGGTCGTAAATTTATAATTCCAAGTTTCTGCAGAAAATCTGATCGGTTGAAATTATGAAGATGCTTTTTTTTTTTTTACATCAATTTCAAATCGATTTCTGTGGACACCATTAAGTGTAGCAACATTTACTTCTCAATGTCAGATTATACAATTGCAGTGACACAATTAATTCATTTGACAGCCTTTTACACATCCTAACTAGGTGAAGCAATTATGAACCAATGGTGTGCAGAGTGCAAAAAGAAAAGGAGAAGAGTTGTATTATGAACTACTAAATTGTTACCAGCTTAATAATGGATGAAGTTGCATCAGGTAATCTTGTGCTAAATGTGTAATAATTAAAAGCTTTAAGCCTGGGATTAAACCTTGAGGATATTTCCAAACCAAGTCATAGGCCATAATTTAGATTAATTGAAAACAAGACTGCATTGAAATGGACTTAAATGAGCTCCTCAAAGTTATCCCTCTGGTTCTGAGAAGATATAATGCTCATTTACTCACTTCCTCAAAGCAGAAAACTGTTTTCCCCATTGATTTAGCAAGTATAGGAGTGAAAGACTTAGTAATTCCAATGTATATATAGAGATACAAACTACCAACACTTAAATGTTCACCTCCATCCCCCTGACATGTTCTCCTCATAATTTACTGAAGGTCTTTTTTGCACAGATCTGAAGTCAGTGTGCTGAACAGATGTGTTTAACAGATGCACTGAACAGATTCCTCAGCGGGGAAAAACGAAAATGACCTTTACTTGATGTGTGGAACAAATACAACGAATGGTAATACTTGTACAATGCAGGGATAACATACAGACAAATATTAGCATTTTAATCATAAATGTGACATCTTACTTCAGAATAACACAATGAAACATATGAAAGAATCTGTCAAAAAGAGCTTTCGACTACAGATGTATCCATCTTTATCTGCAGACTCCCCTATTAGTAGTCTGTTAGGCTGAGAATAAGGCAGACATTAATCTTCCGGGCAGCAGTGTCTCATGCAGGCTAACAGCACAGGGCTGCATGAAACATGGACCTTGTCTGATGGTAGGACAGATTGATGGACGAAAGGACACAAATGTAGATACACTTTAAAATACACCACAAGAGGTCAAAGGTTGGGTCAGTAATGGGCCTGCACCAAAGACCGTAATGACGTAAATGGACCCAGATGTGGTTTGGGTCCGTAAGTGAAGCTTTTGAAAGAGCATTCAGCATCATATACATCATGTTTGGACACAATGTCAAAGATAGGACTCTTTTTACATTTTAGAGTGGTTCAGTGACTCAAGTTTGGTTAATGGGCGTCTTTAATCTTTCCTTGGTAATGGGAACTTTGAAGTTTGCAGATGAAGATCTTGGACACGAGTGTAGTTTGCTCTTCTACACCGGTTCTGATTTGTAAAAATATTCATTTCTGGCACAACCTGGATGATTTAGTTACAGCAGCTGCTTGTTTGGAACTTCGTCACATGAAGCTGCCCAGTATGAGCAGCAAAGTAACTATGGAAAACATCCTTATGTCATGAGGACATTCTTCTATTCTACGTTAAATGTAACAATTACTGAACTTTTCAAACACTAGTAGGACGTCAGTAACTGGTTTCATGGCAACTTAATTGGCAATTAATAATAATAATTCAGGAAGACAATAAAACAAAAAGAAAAATAATACGAATTTAATGTATAACTTATAAATAGATGTCAAATCCACAAACTATTGGTTAACTATGCTGTTTTATTACATCAAAGTATCACCTGGTGCCAGTCAGTGTTTTCAGGAATCTGCAGTAATGGGCAGTTAGTCAGTTTC